ATTACGCAACATTATCTTAATGACAATCATAACTGAAAATGTACGTTCTGTAGTTGCTTTTGGGTAATTGATTCATAAATGGGTCCTTTACTTTTGAATTGGATTTGTGCTATTTATTTATTTATTTAAGTAACTATTGGATCTTTTATTTAGGTTTAAGATTTTTGTATGGTTGAATTTTAAGTGTAAATTATTGGGTTAATATTTATTAATGGAAAAGAATTTCAAAATTTTGTGGGGGACGAAATTGAAAAATACATTACAAATTAACTAGAAATAGTGGAATAGTAGACAATATTGGGAGGCGCGTCTCTGGGTGGATGGCAATGCGAGGGGTTGGGTTAGAGAGTACGAGGAAATATGTTAGAATTTGGCGGGAAAATGTTGGTCCTTTTGACGCCCAATTGCTGCGTGCTTCTATGTGTAGTACTTTGAGATTTTCTATACTGCTCGGATAATTGACACAAAATTTCATTTATCTTTGACACGAAAAACATCCCTATTCTTTGTTTCTTTTTTAACACAAAACCCCCTTAAATGACATTTTCTTTAATTTTTTTAATAAAAAAATTGTGAAATGATAAATATATTCTTTTCTTTAAATAAATCAAAAAGAAATAAAGATGTAGAGCATGTTTGAACCCCATTTTTGTGTAGAATGCATTTTAGCATAGTAAATTAATGAAAAATGGTGGTTAAAAATTAAGGAAAAAATTTTGGGTTGTTTATAATATTATTTTATTAAAAGATGTGTAACTGAAAAGAATATAGAGAAAAATTTATTTTGAATAAAATGGGAATCAAATAAGATCGTAATTACAATTGTAGCTCCAAATTTTTAAAAATATATATCAAATCACAAATAAATAATTAAAAATTAAATGTACGTATAAATTAGTTTTTATAATTTATTTTAAGAATAAATGAAATAAATAATTTTCACTATATTTCATTTCTTTTTTATTTATAATATTATCGACGTATAAGCTAGTTTTTATTTTTTTATTTTTTTCATTTTTAATGAACTTATTGTAATATATATATTACAATAAGTTCATCAATTAATATTACAAAAATTTGTGGTTTAAAATGAGTTGAAAAAAAAAAGTTTAATTTTAATAGTTGTCAAATGGGGTTAAGAGCCCGTTTGATTCTCATTATTGTAGAATGAGAATAAAAAATATAGTCATTATTGAGCAACACACAAGAGATAGAAATTCAAATTGATGACTTGATGTCATTGATAACAGTCATATTCTTCATTCATATTTATGGATGAAAAATAAGAAACAAA